CACGCACACACAAAAGCTTGAGATTATGCTGCTTTCCGGCAAGATGACACAGATGACACATTGGCTGCGTTCAGTAGATTCAACAGTTTTGCAACCGTTTTATGATTGTCTGTTGAGATAGAACCATTCTTCTAAATCTAAAAGTATGATCCAATCAGCGCGAAGGAAAGTTCCAACAGTTGCAAAACAAATGTTCTGCTGAATGCAGCCATTGTAAGGCACAAAACACAATAAGCCTGTTCTTTTTACACAGTTTCTGAACTTCTTACACGATTCATTTTTTTATTTTTCTTTTCACGTTGAAGAGAAAAAGATAAAAAGTTAAACTACACAAGAAATTCCGTTAAAAACAATCCTCAAATGTCATCTATATCTATATCTTGAGTGCATTCAGTACTACGATCGCTCACTGATTGCTCAGTGAGCTGTTGAATCTGTTTGATCTATATTTTTAGTTCTAACGGAATATGCCTGTGGCGATTCGCCACCAGAGGTCTAACGGGTCTTGCGCGGATTCTCGTGAACACCACAGCTACACGAATTCCTTTTAAATAAGATCCCGATCTAAAACTCTCCCGGGCGTCTAACGCCGGAATCAGACTATTGAAGATTGAGATTGAAGATTGAAGATTAAAATTTGACCAGTGAGGACAAAGGAATTTTAGCTCCTATTGTTTTGATTGATCAAATTTCAATCTTCAATCTCAATCTTCAACGCGCAGTCTGATTCCGGCCTAAAGTCCCACTACATCGTCTTAGGCCGGAATCAGACTAGGCATTAAAGATTGAGATTGAAGATTGAAAGATTGAAATTTGACCAATCGAAACAATAGGAGCTAAAATTCCTTTGCCCTCATTGGTCAAATTTCAATCTTCAATCTTCGATCTCAATCTTTAATGCGTAGTCTGATTCCGGCCTTATTGGCTACGTTTACACCGTGTGCTTAGTCCGCGACCTATACGATAGGTGTCTTTGTTTAATATACAGAATAAACAAGGACGTCTATTGTATAAACCGCGGCCTAAATGTAAACTTAGCCACTGATGAGTCCAGTAGTGGGGACCAAGACGAAACCCCGCGGTCGATCATAGTTCGAATCGATCATAATCATCTTTCATTTTTCGGCTACACCAACAAACATTGCCAAATGCCAATCAGATGCTCAGTGAGCGGTTGTAGTACTGAATGCACCCATTGTGTTTTACATTTAATCCTCATTTGTTTCATATATTGTTTTTATCCATTGTGCTTTAGGCACATTTAATTTCTATTTTTAATTTTTTCTGTTTCTCTAATATTTAATATTTATTCATGTTTCTACTAATTTTTCTGCAGATCTAACACTGGACGTTTTCCATTTAGTGATGACACAAGCATCATTCTATCTTGTCATTCAGCGAATAACAATGATAAAACATCGACTATGATTAATTCATATCACTTGTATCAACTTGTACCAAATGGAAAGCATTTACAGTGAACATATTTCATCTTTGTTTAACATTTAAAAATAGTGGTATAATGATTAACTGCGCTACATTGTGTCGTCTCTTGCTAGAGAAAAAACTGTATTTTTTATTTATTTATAAAGATAATTAAGAGAATAAGAAAAGAATGAGACATGTAACGCAAAATTTATCATGTGATTTTCCAACGAAAATAAAAATATATGCGTAAAGGGAAAAGAAAAAACTATGATTATCCTTTATGTCAAAGGTATAGTACGTTTGCGGCGTTGCACGACAGCTTTGTCTCCAAATATTGCGTCGAAAAAGACATTTTACCACCGAAGAAACTCATAGGCAACAAGTGTGAGATTTTCGTGGAGAAGCGTAGGCAGAGTCTCGAGATATATCTCAATGCTGTTTATAATTACTTGAAAAAGGCGATGCCCAGGGAGCTCGCCTTATTTCTGGATCTGCACGAGTACGATATATATTTCCTGGTGCAAAGCATGGCGTTGGAATTTTTTGTAACGGGTGATACTTTGCTACAGGCTTCGACAAGCTACAAATTCAATCCTATACAGGTAATTAAATTAACTTAGCTTTTAATTGGTGAAGATACATAAGATATTTACAAATACACTGATGTCATCTATTAATTTTTTTTTACTTTCAGTTGTATGCAATCAGCGAAAGGTTAAAGCAGCCGTGCCCATTGCTGGAAGTTGTGGATAAGGAATATGCCTTCAGTCATGTTTTGGATTTTAATTCGCGTTTAATTAGCCTCATGATCGAAGGAAGTTCGGAGCCTTACAAAACTAGCAATATTTATCCGTCCGCTTTGTCTATTGAATTATCCACCTTCAAAAATGTGCAGCATTTAACGATTGATCGGTATCCAGTCGACAAAATTTACAACATGGGAAATCTTCGGGACACCGTAACTATGTTGAAAGTTACCAACACCAAGCTCAGAAACATCGTAGAACTGGCCATGTGCGAGGAGGTTCATAAGAATATCGAAAACGCCAACGATTCTCATGTATGGATGAAGGTGACGCACTTGGATCTCAGTGATAATCGCATAGAAGTTATAGACGAGGCGATCAAACTACTGCCGCAAATAGAATGCTTGACATTGAATAACAATCACCTGTCTGAAATCTCAAACGTGACACTGTTGCCGAGATTATCCCAGTTGTATCTAGCATCGAACAATTTTACTCATCTTCCGGACGATCTTCATACGAGACTCGGATATATCGTTTACATCGACCTGTCGCAAAACAAACTCACGTCGCTCGCCAGTTTTTCGAAGCTGTATTCGTTGGAGGGATTAGATGTGAGTTGTAATCGTATCGAGAAAATCGAGGAGGTGAAACACATCGGTCATTTGCCATGCTTGGAGAACTTGAGACTAACGGGCAATCCAGTATCGACAATAGTCGATTATAGAGTCAAGGTTCTGGAACCATTTGGTAAGAGAGCCGCCGATATTTGTTTGGATAATGAAAAACCGAATCAAAAGGAGCTTGATACAGTATCGGTTCATCAAGCATTGCGCATCGCGAGGGAAGGTAAATCGCCGTCGTTCACCGCATCCGACGCCCCACTTTTCTCCGCTGAAGTTCCAAGTATATAGAAATTTTAATTGTGGTTCTCTCTCTTATTGCGACAATCGTGTTGCGCGAAGAACATTTAGATACAAAACAAAAATGTTTTATATGGTATGTAGACTTTATCACACTACGAGACTGATCTTCTCTTCTCGGTAGAACCGTAATATTAATTGTTTTTAACTCGATTTATTATACATTTGCTATTTTTATGATGTGAATAACGTAAGAACGACATGCTTTTTAATTTTATCACGATTTTCAAAAACATGTCAAAATAAAGAGAACTATGTTTTATAAAGTTTCCGTGTAATCTCATGCATAAATTCGAGATGAAACACGTGTTTCTTGTAAGCAAGTAAAAAACTTCACACGATCCATGACAAAATTATAAATATGAATATGTCATTTGATTCGTAAAATGAATTTGTAAAATTTCCACCATTTTATACATATCATGCATAGATTTTTATCGATAACAATAAATCCGCGTACCTATTGTATTTTATATATACATAATTATTTAATCATTATTTAATCGAAAACATTTAATCGAATTTACTTGACATTATTTCCTTAGAGTTAGTATAAATAAATCATAAGTCGTGTAATATTTATTTTGAGATAATGTTTAAATCTTTAAAAAATTTTTTAAAACAATACTAACACAGAAAAGTCTTGTGTAATAATTTTATAATAATTTTACGTAAGAGAGTTATCTGTGTATAAAAACATATTTTGTTAATAAAGACAAATAAACTAAAAGTCTGTGATAATATGTGTACCTTGTTGTCAACACTATGATAAAAAATTATACTTTATGTATACCACATTGCTTGGAATTCAAACTTGTGTTCATCTGTGACTATTACTCAGACTATTACTCACCTTGTATTTGTAGGGAAGATTATATAATTTTTTGTATATTTTTCATCGTTAGGAAAATATAAATTCGTTATTGTTATATTTATCATAGTTTTTATTTAAATTCGCATTACCTTTAAATATTGTACGTGTATGTGTGTGTATTGTGTATGTATGTGTATTTGTTGAGTGTTGAGTTTTGCGCAATATTTCGAAAAATATTAAAATATTCATAAATAATATCAATAATGGTCACATATTCTAAGCATTGTGTTATAGTCTTTTAACGTACACCTAAACTAACACATATATAAGTTAACCGTTACAAACGGCCATTTCTCCATTGATTTATGATATTCGACTCGTTGGTACACAAGTGCACAAATAAGCAATATAGCTCACAGCTTCTCAAAAAAGTATCTAACTAAAATACATCATTTCAAAAGGCAATGCACATTTCTGAAAAAATTATGCTATTTCTACGAGGGAATCGGAAATATCTTGTGTATCAAAGAAATAAAGCTGCTCGTATGAAAAAGGAAAAACATTTTTTATCAAACACATTTTAGCTAACTTTTTTTTACATTTATAGCACTTCATTGCTCTACGTTTGATTTCTTTTTGTATCTTTCAATGAAAGTCGACACGCACCAGGCACTTTAGCGTGATCGATTTTTCTGATATTACACTGAGAGAAAAAAATGATTACAATTACAATAATTTAACTATAATTTATAGTCTTTTTTGAGACAACTATATATTTATAGTTTTAACCATGCAAATATAGTCAATTGAGCTGTTAATAATAGTCAATAGTCACACATTCTGCTTGAAAATTTTTAGTTTTTTCTTAATATATTTATTATTATTATTATCATATAAATAGTAAGTGAATTTAAAAAAATAGTTATATTTATTATAATTGCGATTGCATTTACTGGAAAAAATTATTTTATTTACTATTTATTGATATTTTACTACATTGATATTGGAAATTATTATAATTTATAGTACAATTTTTTCATGTTTGAGAGAACTATACATATATGGTTATTATTACTAACAACTGTAGTAATAATAACCACAAAAAAGGAGCTTCTAGCCGTAATTATTTTACCATGCAATTATATATTCACGAATATCAAACACTTTTCTCTCAGTGTAGTTTAAAATTGGTCAAACTTTCTCTCGCTCGAATATAGATCAACTTCTTTAAGTTACTATAATAAAGGTAATAGTAGAAGAAGGATACAAGGACTTACGAAGGAAAGATCCAATTTGGGTAAGTCGGATGGTGGTTGGAAATAATGGGAGGAATTCGAGGCAGAAAATTAGAAATCGACTTTCCGCAATTCGTCACTGGGGTTTACTGGTGTGCGATCGGGATTAACTTCTCGCCCGATCCAATCGCCGGTAATGGCGCCTCCACGGTAAGGACACCGTCCTTACTCAGGGAAGACTTGATGCTCTCAGGATTGGTTCCCTTCGGCAACAAGAATTCTCGATTGTATTCTCTGTATACCGATTTGCTCTCCGTCTTCTCCTCGTGTTTAGCATGGACCTGGACAAACGAAGTTGCATTGCGTTAAATGATATAATAATTACATGACGATTTGAACTGTATAATTATCACTATTCACATATTTCGATTCATTGATAATTAAATGTAATAGACTCGTATGCGATCTCAAGGCATTATTTTAGATCCGATTATACTATCAATTTGAAAAATTACAACTTGGATTAATAATAACATAGGTTTAATAATTTTTTAATTTTGTATTATATACACATATATATAATAATTATAGAATATTAAAAATATATATATGTATAAAGAAAAAAAATTCTTAATCGAAGTTGACGATGTTGCAATCAGCCCTTTCAATGCGGTCCTGTCGCCTTGAAACTAAAATATATTATGGCTAGTAGCCAAGTTACGCCGTAATTCTATAATCCAATGAGTTTATTATTAGCATCAATTATTATTAATGTTAACTATTAATATTAAATATTAAATATTAATATTTTGTCTACGATCCTCTCAGGATGTATGGCTTATTGACGTGAATTTACAAGCTCGTTAAGATTCACCTCGCGTGCGCCTAAAGTCGCGATTGATTTATCATTACAAATGCATTGGACTAACGATCCCGATTTTCCTCAGTCATACACACGTTTCTTTTTTGAGAAATTGAGGAATTCGAAGCTTGCGAGCGGCAAAAAGAATTATCGTTTTATCGTGACATGAATTTTCACGAGCGACAATACAAGAAGAAATATGCTCGAAAGGTGTCCTTCGTGACACCCTAACGAGCAATTTCCCTGAGTAATCTAAAAATGGGGTAACGAGAGTACCTCGTAATAGTGACCGTATTACTCATGCGTTCGACCCATGAGTCATGCCGTTCGACTATGCGTAGGTTTCGTCTCCTTAGTAGACGCGTAAGGTTAGTATAATGTGTCAGACATCGATCTTATTTTTCCATCTGCGACTAATGTATATATACGTGTATATATACGTGTTGGGTTACAGATGCATCGAGGTATCAATTTTATTATATAAAAGAATATTACATATGTATACCGTTACTTGTATTAAACCTGTAGTATTTCATAAAAATAATTTTCTCAAACTTTTCGAAATATTTCTGTTGTACAATAATATTCTTCAGTACGATTCTATACAATACCAAAATTATACATTTTAATTTTTTTATTGTATAACAAAATATTAATTATAAAAATAAATATTTACAGTAGAGTTTTATTCTTTAAATGGAGATATTTCTTTAATTCACATTTTTAAACAACTAAATTTTAATAAATATTTGTTTGAATAGTTCTAGTAAATATTTAAATGTAGATACAAAAACCATTAATTTCATTTAACTATTATTTTTTTATTGAGTAAATGTTTATTTACTGTAAGTAAATGTTTACATATTGTTAGTACTATTCAAAGAAGTATATATTAAAATTTAGTAAATTTTCTTCAGTGGAGGTTTAAAAAATATTACGAATAATATATATAAATAACTAGTCCCGGAAGTTCATTGAGTCAAGGCGGAAACTGAGACTGGGCTCTTGCCTTGAAAAAACGTCATTCTCAATAACGAAAGTGGGTTATGAGAGACACGACACAATTTTCGGATGTCTGCGTCTTACGAGAACCGTGGAAGTCATAAAGGGGTCGAAACACAGTAGGAACGAAGGACGAGACGGGGAAGATGGCGGATTGTACCGCCATCGCTTCCACCTTCTACATCACGTCGACGCGAATCGATATTTTCAAGCTTATTCTTACAAGTCATCCTTGTTCGACTCTGTTTCTCTCGCAAGTTATTCTGTATTCAATTCAACAAATGTTTACGGGAAAATATTTAATACAAAAATACTCGGAATATCTTAGCTGTGTCTGTGATATCCATCTTTAATGTCCGTGTTCTTTGCAATGTAGTTCTATCGAGCGCTTTTCGTTGACTCAGCGATCGATGATAATTTACATTTTATCACGAAGCGGAATCACCGCTCGTATGTGCGCTAATATTTCTTTATAGGCCCCGCGTCCCGAATTCTTCAAATATAACTTGCTCGTGAAGCATTACGCTTATTACGATACGTATCTCTTCGCCGTGAAGCAGTTCACCTAGATTCTACCGACGAAAAAAAGCCCTAATGAAATATGTATGAGATATATAGAAGTCGACTTATTAATCAGACTCCAACGCGTATCGCACCATTCGTTCCATTAAGCCGTAATCACATTAGCGATTGCGTATGGAAAGAAACAATTTTGTTAATTTAACACAAGTCACCAGTACAATTTAACAAGTACCAGTAATAAATTTTATTTGTAGATATAGCGACAACAAAGATGTCGGTGCCGAAAACGAATGTGATAGGGTCGTCAGTAATGACAATGAAACTAACGCTTAGCCAATGTTACGACTGTTAACTAGTACTGGGCCTTCGCTGGCAAATGACTGGCTAAAATGACTGGGCCAGTATCATCTGCTAGTGCTTAACCAGTATTGGGCCAATAGTTTGCCAACACTGCGCCAGTATCTGAACTATGGCAATCGGTAGGCAATCAGTATTGGCCCAGTTCTGGATTGATGTAAAACTCTATATGGGATGTGTTACTTAAGGTACTTTTGATTTGTGTTGTCCAAGATAATTCTTCTGTTATGGAAACTAATACTCGGTATATTTATTGTTACTGACATTATAAGTTATACTACCAATATATTTTATACCTACAGCAAATACACTAAAACAAATGTGATTTGTATCGTAAATCATGTAATGTTTGCTACATTGACGAATAATGAGAAATGATACACAATAGTATCTAACTGATCGATCTGTTTTCTTTCCAAATTATCACATAACGAATCATTGTTTGTTCTGACAAACTCATTTCTTTCTGTGCGATTATGATCAGTGATTGTCGATTACTTTTCAACCAATCAGAGCAAAGCAATCACCGATTGTTTTGCTCTAATTGATTGAAAAATAATCATCAATTAAATTGTAATATCGCGCAATCGTTAGTGTAATTGCGGCTTTATGCGCTTTCGTTTGTCCGAGAGTATTATCTTTTTAAATTATCACCATTAGATATAAAATATCTTCGTAACATTTCAGTGGATTTAAAATTAAACTTCTACTTTACAACTGGATTTAAAGTATATGCAGAACTTTAGTGGCGTGCTGTTGCTCGAAGACTTGCAAACATTGCACAATTCGCAGATAGCGCCGCCGTTGAGTTTTGTATAAACAGTGTTATTATGACGGAGTTGTTACATCATGTTAATAGTGAGTTCGATCAGCGACGTATTTAGAAATTGCTGGAGTTTGTATGACAACGAAGCGAGAGCGACTTGCCTTGAAGAGAATCGGTGGCGAGTATGCAGTGTTGACTCACATAATCAAACAGCAAAGGCAGTATGCCTTTGTAGTGTGTACATATGAAGCATCCTTGTCGAGCCATATTTTGACATCTCAAAAAATTTCCTTAATATTATATATCCCGCGAGATAGAAGTTAATTAAACTAATTTTTGTTAAATTCGTAGTCTTGCGCTTCAAAAAATTTCTCTAATCTTTAATATTAAATTTCTCGAAATACAGCTTAATTAAATTAATTAAATTTTTGTTAAAAACGTATTTTCGATGTCTCGGAATATTTCCCTATAATTTTTAATATTAAATATATCTCGAGATAAAGCTTAATTAATTAAATTTTTGATAAAGTCATATTTTTAAAACTACAATAAATCTTCTTAATCTTTAATATTAATCTTTAATATTAAATATCTCAAGTTCAATTAAATTGAATAAGTTTTTGTTAAAGCTGTACTTTTGACGCCTCAGAAAAGCTCTCTAATTTTTAATATTAAGTATCTCAAGATCAATTAAATCCCAAACATAATTAAATTATAAACAAGAGAAAATTCACAAGCTCGTTCTCACCAATCAATAATAAAATAAGTAATTATGACCAACTAAACGAGCAAAAAAGTTAATTAATTTAATATATTAGATTCAAATTCGCAAATACATACGAATAATAAACTTAGACGTTTCGTTCTCATAGAGACTTTTTCAGTTAATTAACATATAATAAGTTATAAACGGAAAATACATAGTTAATAGAAAATAGTTAATGGAGAGCCATATAAAAAATCGGCAAGTTAGTCGCATTTAAAACTATCTACAAACGCTTCCCAATCAGAGAGTCATATTGATTCATCTGGATGTTATGTCTAATTGATAAAATCTCTTTTATAATAGATTCTTCATTCACCACACTGAAAAAAAGATTGGCTGCTGCAGCAAATTAGATGGTAAAATATGGCATAGCATTTTTAATTGGTTGCAGCAGTCAATTTTTGGTTGTGTTAGTCTATCGAAATCCTATACCGACATTGAAGATAGGCTAATGCAACCAAAAATTGGCTGCTGCAACCAATTAAAAATGCTATGCCATATTTTACCATCTAATTTGCTGCAGCAGCCAATCTTTTTTTCAGTGCAGTGAAGATTTGTTGTGTTGATACACTTATCTGAATATTTTAAATATCTACTCGAACAAACAACATTATAAATATGCAATCATTTCGCCGATTGCTATTAACAGTAAACATCGTAACACTTGATCTGTAAGCCATGTTCGCCCTTCGTCGCTAATCGCGATATTTCTTGAAGCGTGTCTTCGATGGCTTTGTCGCACGCGAGAAAAATGCAGGTGCAGAATGTATGGCCGCGCCCATTAGAGCGGTAAACACCATCACAGGTAAGAGTCGCGAACGATAGGCGAGGCTTGTTGTGCTAATTGCATTACGTAAAAGTCGCTAATGATCAGTTCGCTTCGTTTCGCTTCTGGAACGTCTTCCATCGCGTTGTCAAGAAGACCAGCCGAATCTGCCAACCGAATCTATCTGTCCATGACACATGCCAATGAACGAAATAATAAGCCTTAACCTTGCCACGTGAAAAATTGGATTGACCTCGATGCAACTTGCATCTGTCTGCACGTCCTTCCTCTCCTTCTCTTTGTTCAACGTCGTAAGACTCTTATAGCGGATTCGTATTTGATTTCAGGGCGCGTGTCGCGCTGCCTTGAATAATTTTCAGGTATGAATTCCTTGGCACCGCTTCGTAGCTGGTCGGTACAACAAATGGACGTAAAGTGGCTAAGATATCGAAGGCAGCGATGTAATTACTTCGCTGACCTTTACGATAACTTTAGTTTCTCGTAAAATTTCCTATAGCTAATAGAAGGAAAGGCAATGACTCGTCAACTTTCATTGTTTAATAATTCTCAAAACTGAACAAAATTCGGCGGGCAGTTTTTAGAATTGAATATGTATATAAATTCACATCGAAATATTTAAACACTAATTGTAAGATCCACTTTGACCGAAAATATAATTTCTCTAAATTATATATAGATTTATTCTCATTGGTCTAATTTCGTATTGAAATTGTTAATAATTCTCATTACTTCTCTTAATTCCCTGCATAACGAAATATTTCTATAATTGAATCTTTGGAATTTTCTATGATTTGCTCGAAGAAAAAGCAAGACTTTTAATCACTTTCTATCTCTCGGATAAATACGGTAATATAAAAATATCAGTTTCTCGGATGCCGAGAGTTCTTCCTCCAAGCCGCGAAATGGATTCTCTCGTGATGATGGTGATCCACTAACGCAATTCTCTTGTTGCGACGTTTCTTTTGGGATATCGATCGTGCCGACTGTAAAAAAATAAAACTCACGAGGAAAGCGCGCACGGGTAACCCTAGATCCCGCAAGATCGAGAGAAAAAGAAAGCAAAGAAGAAAATGAAACGGAAAGACAAAAAGGAGAGAGACGAACTATGGTAATCCAATTCTTCGCAGGATCTAAGTTTTCGCGACGGATATCGTCTTACGAGAAACAAGCCTTACGCAATCCTACCAGCTGTAACCACTAGTCATTGGAGTGACCAAACTTTAGCCTAGATTTGCCAAACTTTAGCATCCCCAACGAACTGAATTATACGTGATTTGGATAATGTACGGTGATAGTGATTTAAATTATATTATCAACTTTTGAATATTCTAAAAGTTTAAAGATTTAAATTTTTTGTATCAAAGTTATAGATTGCATCAAAAGTCAGACCTCAAAGAATGTACCAGAAATAAACATATTATATTATTTTATTAATATTTTTTATTTTTTATTCCATCTTTAATATACATAAAACAGTCTTATTATTCTTTCTTTCACTAATTTAGATATACTGTTATAGTATCTGATAAAAATGTTAATTAATAAAACATATGACTGGCTTCTAGTACATTTTGTATATACATCGTCACAAATTTTATACTCGTAATATTTTTAAATATAATAATTTTACAGTGCAATTGTAATTAATTTTTTATTTTGAAAGATAGAAAAGAAGACTAAATCCTCGATATCCATAGTGATAGTTGCTGTTTGAAATTCAGTCTCGCGATTGTCGAAAATAACATAAGCCGCTGGCAGCTCTGACTCACAAACTAAATATAACCGTGAATTTTCACGTTCCTACTTCTCTTTTGCGAGAATGAAAACAGACCCTGAATCTTTTGAAAGTTGATTAAAGTGCTCGGATATTATCAACTCAAGATATTTAATGAAACGCTCTTTTATTATGGAAAAAAGTTTATATATATTCATAGATCGAACAATTCTATCAATTAACGATATGTACAAAGTATATGTATAAGCGACCTATTAATTATGCGATATGTACGGAATATCTGTTACAATTAGTCAGATGCTTCGACTATGCAAACTTGGAATCTCTCCCTCCGTCAAATAGAATTTAACGAGTTGTAATCAATCATGTGAATGTAATATCTAAATTTTAATCAATAATCGAGTTTTAATTAATACACATTATTTTTTATTAGAATTTTTCAATCATCGGTATTAAATACTACTCCGGACTTTTTACATATGTTTTGTATATCCATCAGTTAAATCTCTATCGAAATACCCGGCACGAATTTATACTAGATTACGTGTTATGATGAACACAAAAAAGGAGACATGCTTTCTCGTTGCTTTTGCGATGACGTCAGCTGGTCGTAAATTTGTGAGATGATCTACCCTACTCCCATACACGACCCATTCCCAGCCCGGACTACTCGTCCTTCAAAGCATCGTCCTTGGTCAAGCCCTTTAAGGTCCGCTCGCTCGCGGTGCGTGGCCTGAATTCGCCAGACCCTGACCACGTTATACGACAAGCAGCTTCGAGTTCTCCGCTGTCATCAGGCTCCCGGCGAATCCGTTTATGGAAGACTGCTCTCGTTCCCTTGAAATTATTTCAGAGAGAAGGACCATGAAGATAAATGATCGATGTCTTTTGTGAACGAAATTCGTTTACTTGAGAAAAAGAGAGATCGATCGAAGGAAGAATTAGGTTGCGCCACATGACGACGTAACTTTTCGGAGAATATAACAGATGCCGAGGTGGATAAAGAAGCATATTCGAGCGTTGATATGCCGACGACCTCGTTCGAGAAAGATAGGATGGCCAGACGATGAATGTGAATAGAAACGAATGGAGACTGAGAACGTATCGCCTTCAAGTTGAAAGAGGGAGTAACGTACAATCCAGGAGACACGTTGTTTTGACAGCCGCACACTTCCACTGAGCTGCTACGAACTACTTGAAACCAATGCTAAAGAAAACAATAATAAAATCATCTCTTTAAAGAGAAATTGATTTTTAGTCTAAATAAACTCTAATCGAACGGAATAGTGCGACTTTTGGAATACCCAGTACAAGGTATGCCTACTTTATGGGGTCATCACTTTTTATTTGAAATGAAAATGAAGGAGTGCGCTTGATTAGCCGATCATTTATCTAATAAATCATCAGAATAATGCCGTGCCTTGTTCCTTGACAAATCTTGCATCATTACGATCTTTCTTTCATCACGAAGAATGAGAGTACGATGGTACAACGACCTCATCATTTCTTCGATCTCGTGTATAACGGTAGAAGAACTTTTGCAATACCCGTGCTCGAGAGAAAGAAAGAGAGAGAAACAGTACCTGATTTCCGCTCTATTATCTCTCTTATTGAAACAAATAGATAATTCTATGATTATATTACAATTATAGTCTCATATTGCAAAGAGAAAAGACGGATATCGTGCATTAACAAGAAATGAAGTCTTCAATTGTTTAGACTTTGTCGAGAACGGAAGTAATTGCTCGTCATGTATCTTACTTTTTCTTAATTTACTTTTCAAGATATTAAATTTATTAAATTTAACTTTTCCTTAAAAATTGTTGTTCATGTTGCGAAATATGTCTACGCGACATGTCTCTTGTGTAATTCATAAGCGCGTAATCGCACCGCCCCGCATCTCGCGTTCAGCTTGTTTGTTCACAATAGCCAAACATTATTCCGGTCCGCCGGTATGACGACTGGCGTGAATTTATTTTCGGCGACGGTTATTTCCGTCCAGGTCGGCGCGAGAACGTTAGAGAAGGATCTCGAAGACGCGCTTTAGAAATCTTGAGGAATTCTCGCTCCCAATATTTCGCTTCCTGCCGCTGAAATTCTAATATTCCGAGATGGCAGCGAGAAAGAGGAGGTGCATAAATTTGTTGAATTTATATTAAGTGCCGAGCTACTCTGCGTTAAAATAAAGTTACGTTTCGCGAAGCAATCGTCAAAATCGAAACAAAACGAGACGAAACTTCACTTCGTACGACCGCGTTATTCGATGAAACCGCTTTCCTGGCAGGAAGTGACGTAACGCAGTCAATTACAACATTCTACACAGTTCATAAAGATGCGCAAGTACCTCGACAAGTATTCCGCATGTTCCATCATATTCCTTCTCTTTGGATAATATTTATAATATTTACAATAATATTTATAATAAATGTAAATTTGTTAAAAGAGAATCACTATTTTTTATACCGTTTTGCCAAAAACACTTCATTTATTTATTTAACAATTGACTTAGGAAATAATAACTTTTATGTATATTATCATTTTGAGCTTAGCACGAGAAGATAAAGTATGAAAATCGGTATCCTGATGTTAATTATTTCTCTGTGAATATAAACTATAAGCGAACTGTGTAAATGAATAGATCTACAAAAAACTATTGTAGTGCGCAATTTGCGAGTAATTAACTTCGTTTTATGATGGCAGCACATTGCGTATGACAGACAACTTTGTGTCGCGCCAATCCTCGCCAATTGCGCAAAAACTTGAGCCAGATTTACGCCTTGCCAAATTGTGCAAGAGAGTATCCCAATGCATATCGTGCGTGATGAATCAACCATATAATAATTTCGGGTTATTAGATAAATCGAGAGGAATTGCGCGGCAATAAATTGAAAGATTTAGGCTTCGAATATCTATTGTCCGAGTAAATTTTATGTATCAATTTATATATCTAAGGGTAGACTGGCTATTAAATCTTAAGGCCGATTAATTAATAGTTGATTCTTATATTAATTTAAGACCATCTTATATATATAAATACAGTCTCTTATAATGTCATAAACTAATCACAGATCCGTATTATCATCTTAAGATATTAATGCCTGTTACTACAAATGTAGTTTAATTTTAAATTCTAAGTTCTAAGAATTAGTAAAGAATATAAGAACAGACAGATGAATATCGTAAGAATAATATTAAAAAGAATTTGAATAAAATATTTTCAGCATTAAATCCTTTTCTATTACATTCGCAGTCAACATACGTTCGGTAAAGAAATTGACTCTTTATTAAATTCTTTTAGTTTCATGGCTAGGCTTGAACTTTAACTGTGATAGTTTCACTCACCAATAGTTTGTTGTCCACAGTCTTGACGACAATTTCTTCGGGCGTGTATTGCGAAACATCGAAGCGCAGTTTCAACATCTTATTGTCACCCTCGTCCTGGATGAGAGGACTATTGAGTCCGTCCAGCCAGGCATGATCGTGCTGAGGACTTAGAGAACTGCTGTTCTGAGTGGACTGTTGCGTGGTGGTGCTGTAATTTAAAACAAAAGTCTCAATTATCATCGATGATCGTTGCTCGTATGTCAAGTCTAAATGAGCAATGAGATGTCGGATACATTGATGAGATAATGAGTGTCGGATCCGTAGCCGTTAACGTAAAACCTGTGTTTGACTATACTACAGTCGGTGCGATAGTATGAAGCCTTACTTACGGTGTGTGACGATGGACAGACAAATCAAATAAATATACACAAAGACTGACATATAAAATTGTGTGTTAATATCAGTTAACGCTAAAAAGAACAGCATATTTCACATAACTATTTTCATCACGCACAGAAATAGATAAAAAAATTGCATAACTTTGTATAATAAGAAAGTCAAATTATTTATTTAAAATGCTAATTGGTAATTATGCTTTGCTCCTTTTAGCGTTAACTAAACTGGTGTTACTCTTGCACGCAGCACTATGATCTATGCAGAACCGTAAGGAAAACAAGGTTAAATATACCATAAGGTATGATCGTGTTAAGTGGGCAACGATATCATCATCCCGAGTATACGGTCACAAAAACGTGCAGACATTTATTTGTTCGTTGCACTCGCTTTGACGCGATTACAACTGCGTTAACTCTTCGTAGAAAGAACCTGTTGTAACGCTGCGTTAATGTTATTATTTTTTTTACGATTCAAATTTCCGTTATTACCTCTCAATACATTTATAATATATAAATAATATTAACGTAAATTTTATATACGTTAATATGTATTGACATAATAAATTTAAATTTCATTAAAATAACGAATTATACGATAAATTCATTAACATTTAAGAAAATAACTGACGCAATAATTAAATCTTCAACTTGGAATTTTTTTTGCTATAATCAGATCACGTAACAATTGAAAACTCCTTCTTGTTTAACGATATTATTTAAGCGCAAAATCATTAATCCATCTTATTCTTCAAGTTCATCCTACAAAAAGTTACAAACAAATGAAAAATAAACGATATAGTGCGGGATAAATGTTTCGGCTAGGAAGTAACGTAAAGTGCGGTCTAATTTCAAATTATACTATTTCAAAACGAATTCCGATCCCATAGACTGATCGCCCCTACATCGATCGACTCGTTTTCTCTGTGCGTTTTCTTTTTTTTTTCTTTTCTCTACGATAGAGCGTCACCTTTTGAAACTGTCGAACGCGGACCGCTTCGACGGTGCAGCAGGATCGACCTTGTCCCAACCTTCCTTCTTCGAGGTCGTCGACGTGTGGTGCTCGCTGGTGCTCGTGTGGTGTCGACTTCATAGTTAGTCACGTGCCAATGCAGAGAGCCATTCGGTAGGCGAGACGGTAGTCGAGCGCAGGAAGAGGGATTGTTATTATTATATACGGTTAACTCTGATGGTGTTATGGAGTCGTCCGAATTTAACGTTAATTCACGCGATCGCTTGTCTTCGCTTCTCTGTTTCTTGGCGGTACAGTTCGATTAATCTCTGTCCTGCAGTTTCCTCAGACTGGGTTTCATCAGCGATTAACAGTTATTCAGTCAGATGGTCTGAGATCTTAGATCCTTTCCGAGCTTCCTGGTTTCACTAACGACAAATCATTCTTGCTTCGCTATCTTTATTATCTTCATCAACAAGCACCAGTTTTCCACGGTGAATAAATAATCGAATCTATTTGGGAATCTATTAAAATCTTTGATCATGTAAATTCATGACTACGTTTATCTTTAACGTCGTAACAACAACTGTTCAACTGACGTATAACTGTTCAAAGTTTACTCGCCATTGATGAAAACCATTCTCGTTGAAATTACAATGTGCCCGAATATCATTACCCCGAATTTTCGATTATTAATTTTTGGCAAAAAAATACCACTGTGAATTGTATATAAAATCATACGTTATATTAATCGATTGATCAAGTATGTTTGCGAAATTTTATTAAAAGCAATAAGTTTATTTGCCAAGAAACAACGAGCGAGCGACATTCTCAGCAAAATTTAATTAAAACTCTGGTACTTTTTTAAATCTGTTATTTCCTTTATTTTTGCTGATTAAAAATATTACAACACGACTCCTTAATAAATTGCAAAAGAAAGTAGTCTTACAAGTCATTATCTCTTATACTTTCATATTCATGAAACCTCAAAAACAAAAATAAAAATAAATGAAAATAAACCATAGAACTTAGCGTCAAATTTTGACTGAATAAAAATCTCATCGCGTGTGTGTGCTATGCAACTAATGCCTATCGTAAATCTAAAATATGCTGGCAAATCGCTTTAAAAAAAGGATAAAAAGCAGTAAGACAATCGACACACGTCAAACACGCAGCAAATTAATCGTAAAGGCTATATACAAATTATTTGTACAACTTAAAAAATTAATAAGCGCACTCGGCAAATACAATACGTATATATGTGATAAGTCTTATTGATTCTAAACTTATTTAAAAGAAACACTTCGTTTACGATAAAACAAAATTTCTCGAATGGGTACCTGCCTTTGTCCCGGTGATCTTTTACCACGGAGATCGACGCTAATTACAGCTGATAATCGACGTTAAACTTATTAACAATCCCCTGAAAGGACTCTGATCGATCGTAAACGTGCTTACATGCAGATAAGAAGAGCTTAACTCCGCTTCTAACTTCGCGCGAAATACCGTCGAACTAAATATCACGATAACCGGAAGTGTCTTGCCTTGTCTTCGGAGAGGTCGTCGACCTGTTACTACGTAGGATACTATAAATAGTACGCGATTACGTCGTCGCAGCCATACTTGCACAGCGAGGGTAATCGTGATTTCTCAAGTCACGTTTACTCGTGTTACCTTAAGTTCTTCCTCGCAGAATTAACTTCGGTTTAATCATTCTACCGCACCGCTATTTTCCAGCCTCATTTATCGCTCCTCGAAATTTACACAAGTTTTGAAATAGAATATTAGAATGTCTGCACCATAAGTCTGCACCATAAGTTTATGGAGAATTTATAACTGATATTATTGTACCTAAATAGGCAGTCATAGATTATTCTTTTGTAATTATTTATATAAATCTGAAAAGATGATTTGTTTTAATACAGATGATTCACAAAAATTTTGTTCAAATTTTGGCAAAATAAGCAAAATTTGAACAAAATTTTTGTGAATGCCGTGAAAAATTCCTCTGTTATTGTTGTGGATTTTATAAAGTTTTAAAAGTCAAATTTTCTTTTCTAATGAATTATTTTGCTCTTCTAGAAGCAAGTCATATTTTATAAAAGATAATGTACGAATCCCTTCTCGATGAAAATTAATATTCGAAAGAAATGAGATCGTGTCCGACATTTATTAAGTTTTGTAATGGTCGAATAAATTGTATGACAGAGTAAAACGATTCCAAGAACGAAATGTCACTATATCCCGTCACGCGATATAACGTGTCTGACAGTAATAACAATTATTTTCCGCGTTTTATTTTCTTCGTGCGTATAGATATTGAACAAAGAGATTACTGTCAATAAATTCCTATCAACTGTCGTGATTTTTCGACAAATCTATTATTGAGAATATAAATGAATCACGATTTATACTTTTTATAAAAAACTGAGATATGCATTACCGTGAAATTCTGATTGAATCTAAGCTCGTAACATTTAAATACCACGAGACGTTCGCCAACGGGAAGTACGAAAGAGTTCAAGTAAAGCCGTAGGAAAGCTGCGTGGGAAAGAATAGGAAAGAAACGCGGTAGAGAACAATTATGCCAGACAAGAGAAAGGTCGGATCTCGTCTCATGAAATCGAGGGAGGTCGACCATAGCGCGAGCTCTTACAAAACCCGACTCGTCGGAGTGAAAAGGCCAAGCAAGACGCGAATCACGAAGTAGTAATTCTAATTTTAATCCATTACGTTATTTTGCACGCATTTCACATTATATGAATATATGTCTTATCATACTGTATGAATATATGTCTTACATACTTTAATTGATTACATATCACAAAATTTTAATTCAAGAAATAATTAAAGATATGATTTCAATAGTATCATTAGATTTCTACATATATATGAGTCTTTAACGAGGCATTTCATTGAAAGAAAAAAAAGTTTCATTAAAAAATTATAATAAAAATAGTAAACATGAAGCAATAGCGAAAATTTATTATATGACGTGAGAATAAGTCAGCGTGTTTATCTAATCTGTTTAGCTATGTTTACTACTTGAAATCGTTGAAAATGATTGGTGTAACTTGTATCAGTCTCGTATCGATACGTAGCACAATTTCATTTATTAAGAAAATTCAATTGCAGAAATTATAAACGAAAATTATGCTTTCTTCGCTCTCGTTTGACGTGATAAAACAGAATAAAAATTTTTGCCTTATGACAATTAATAGAACAAGTTTAATTAAAATATTAACACATAACTTTGATATTGTTTTTATTATATAAAATGCATTATACCTATAAAAAATGACTATTGTGCAAAATAATAAATGTTTCCGAAAAATTAAATATGATTTCTAATGATTTATTCGTTGAGTGACAAAGAATTTATAGTATTATTGTCATCGCAAGTCATATCTAGTTAATAGTGTTGCGCTTAGATAATTAAAAATTATCTAGATATAGATAAGATAAATCACACAAAAATGTATCTTAGATAAGATGATTAACTTTACATTAATCTAGATAAAAGATGAAATTAAAAAAATTTTTATCTAGATAATTTTTAAGATAATTTTGTTTTTAACTAATTATTAGACAGTAAAACGATTTATGCCCAATTTCTTCACTTCTAGATAACTTTATCTAAGAGATATCTCCCAGAATACAATGAAGATATCTCCTGGATAAGGATATCCGCAACTTATCTGGAAGTGAAGAAATTGGGCATTTAGATACAAAAAATGTATATTTTATTAATCTTTATTTTTTACAGTAAAAGTGTTTTGAACATTTCGTCTAAAAATACGGTTTCTACGTGGAATTAATATTTGTTGTCCACAAATAAAAAGGCGCTCTACTAGCGCTGATAATGGCAATGATGTGTCATATTTAAAAAAAATTTGTTTGACGTGTGGATACAAATTAAGAATATCTAATTCCTTAGATTTATCTTCTAAATATGAAAGTACTTCAATGTCTTCGAATTTTGACTGATGTCATACACTGAAAAAAAAATTGGCTGCTGCAGCAAATTAGATAGTAAAATATGGCATAGCATTTTTAATTGGTTGCAG